TGTTTCTTTATTTATATGAGAGTATTTTCTTGTCATTGTTTTTTTGTGTAATTGCAGATGATGAATATTATGTTAGAACCCCTCCCCCCATAATATCCCAAAAATACAAAAGATAAGGTCCCTGGTTTACCTCTATTTTTGTCAGTAAATATATGACTTTTCAACTTTTCTATTTATTAACTCAATTTCTTTTTTAACAGCCTCTTCAAAGTCACCAGTCAAATCAGAAATTAAAAATAAAAAACCTTTTGATCATCTACTTATAATGGATGAAGTTGATGGAATGAGTGGAAATGCTGACAGAGCTGGGGTTATTTTTTAAATTAATTTTTAAGAATTTTTTAAAAAAAGATGTCCGAATTAATTCAAATGATTAAAAGAACTAAAGTACCGATTATTTGTATTTGTAATGACAGACAATCGATGAAAGTTCGTTCATTGGCTAATTATTGTTTTGATTTGAGATTTCAAAGGCCCAGAGTTGAACAAATTAAGGTTTTTTTATTTTTATCGTTTGTATAATATTTGAGGAAGCGGGTGACGTCCAAAATGAAATTTTTCATTAAGAAGATTATTTTTCTCGATGAGAACAGTGTTTTCTCTTTTCCATAAAATAGGGCTTTTCCTGACATTCCGAGTTCGAAAAAGATTCCAAAATTATGACGTTTCCTGAAACACTAGAAAATTGTGTATCGGGTAAATGTCCAGTTGACTCCCTACATGTCCGCAAAAAGAATGCGCACTTTTCTTCCCTTTCTTTGCATTTTTGGCGTTAGGAAGAGTGCCCGCTTAAAGGAAAAGTTCTCCCTCATTTTTCCTTTTCTATATTTACTTATGAAAGGAAGGAAGAAAAATAAAAATTAATTAAACTACTGTGTATATAGTGATTAATGGCGTGCAAAACCCGCGATGTCTGTCGGGTTTTGGATCGGGTTTCTGTTCGAAAAAAGATCGGTTATCCATAGCCGGGGGCTGAAGCCCTATCCCCAAGGGCGTAGCAAGGGGGGGGGGCTAATGTAAAGCCCCCTGGCTACGGCCTTGCTACCTTCACTGTTATTACGTAGTCATTAGAATTTGAATATTAGGAACATTCTTCTTTTTTCTCGTATCTCTTGGATGTTTTGATATTTTTGTCTTATTTTTTTAATTTTAGGGTTGTCTTTTAAGTATTGCGGCGAAAGAAAATGTAAAACTATCAAAAGATGTTTATGACAAAATTATTGAAGCATCGTCTCAAGATATTCGTTTGTGTATAAATACATTACAAATGGTTACATGTGGACAAATGTCTATGGATTTTCAGAAAAAGGATATTTTGATGGTTTGTTTAAATCTTTTATGAATTAGATTGGAATAAGGATAACTTTTGTCATGATTGTTCAGACGTATAATAAGGAATTTTGACAGTACCCCCCTCTCAGGGAAAAAAATCCTAGCTACATTTGGTGAGGAACCTTGTAATTTTCATCAGCACTTTGGGGATGTGGAATTTTCAAAAGGTGTACAACAGGGCTGGGCGATTTCGCATTTTCGCGTTTCGCATTTTTCAGCGCGAAAAGTTTCGCACTCCGCATTTCGCTTTTTATTTTTTGATTTCGCCCAGCCCTGTGTACAACTTTCAGTTGCTGTCTTTCAGTTCTAACTTTCATTTGTGTTTTGCCAATTTCTCTCTTACCTTTATAATTTTAAGAATTTATTTATCAAAGAAATAGAATAAAGATAACCAAATGGGTCCAAATTTTTATTTTATTTTTAACAATTTTCAGAATATCTTTGAAGCTGCTCGACAAATTTTAAGTGCGGATACTTCATTAATGTCAAAATCTGATCTTTTCTTTAACGATTATTCAATTCTGCCACTTTTTGTACAAGAAAACTATCCAAATGTTAGAAATTCAAAAATGAAGTTTTTATCAATTTTTTACTCGAACTGTTCTCAACTTTTTTTAGTAATCTCGACCATCTTCAAGCTATTCGACGTGCTTCTGACACAATTGCTTTTGGCGATATTCTTGCAAAACAGATAAGAACAGGTGGAGATTGGTCACTTTTGAGGGAACAAGTTTAAAATTTTAATTTTTCTTTTTTTATTAACTAAAGTCCTATAGATCAGAAAGAGTACGGGTATCCCCAACTTTTCGGTTCTGTATCAGTTCCGGGTATCAGAGAATTTCTCAGTAAACGCTAACCGTATTTTACATTTATTTTTCTGTATCCTTTCTCTGAACTTGAAGAAAATCAAACTATGTAAATTTAATTTGAGTTTTCTGATAAGATAAATAGCATAAAAGGGGTTTCCTCTAGAGACTTTCATGACAGATTCTAACAACCCCCAAAAAGCTCGAAATCGATAGTCCATGGTTGAAAATTCAAATTTCGAAGCACCTCTGCTTGAAACGGATGACTTTTCTATTCTGCTACCGTATTTCCGAAAATAGAACCCCATGGGGCTCTATTTTTCAACTACCCTCCAAAGTGGGGCTCTATTTCAGGGTGGGGTTCTAATTCAGGGTGGGGTTTTATTTTCGGAAATACGGTATATTGACTGTCTTTGTCTTTTTTTTAATTCAGAAAAAATTTTTATTTTGAAAAGAAATTTAAAGAAAATTATTTTTCTAATCTAGGCAATGTTCTCTTGTGCTTTACCAGCATTATTTATGGACGGGTATATGACTGCACAAATTTCTTTCCCGGCATGGCTCGGTAAAAATTCTAATTTACAAAAACGTCAACGTTTATTACGCCAATTAGCTTTACATATGCATTTGAGGTTTTTTTAGAAATTTTTTTGAAAATAATTTTTATTTATTTAGAATCGCTGGAAATATTCAATCAATGGTTCTTGATTATTTACCTGTCCTTCGTGAACGGCTTTATCGTCCTTTAATTGAAAAAGATTCTGCTGGAGTCCCGTAAGTTTTTTTAAAGAATTTTTTTGAAAACTAGGGGAGGTCCTGAAACCCGACGATCTTTTTTAGCTATAACCCTGACCTGAACCCCGAATGTTTTACCCTGACAACTCCCTGTCCCCGACACTTCTGATCCTGAAGTGTAGGGTTGCAATGCTATTTTAAACCATTGTTTAGAACCCTTTATTTTTGATGAGGTGTTATTTTTTTAACAATTTTTGGTGATATCTGTAGAATTATTTTTTGCGGTATCAATGTACTTCAACAAAATTTTATTTAAAATAAATTTTTAATTTGCCAAAATAAAAATTCTTCCTTAATTCTGGCTCTAATTTTGAGTTTTCTCTTTACTCCTTAATTTTATTTTTAACTAAAAAATTATAATTAATATATTTTTTAAGTGATGTTATTGCCCATTACAATTATTATTATTTGGTGAAAGATGATTCTGAAGCTATTAATGAATTGGGGGCTTGGCCAAATAAACAAAACAAAGATTTGGCTTCTTTGGTTAGCACTAAAGCAAAATCGGCATTAACAAGACAATTAAATAAAGAAAAACGATTTTTACCTTTTGCACAACCTATTGATATTAAAACTGGGCGAAGAAAGGGGGCGGAAACGAAAGGGAAAGGTTTGGAATTTTTGAAATATTATTTTAAAAAAATTTAAAATCTGTATGTTTTTTAATCTAAAATTTATCTCTCGAATATTTTCAAAAATTCATATTTAATTTGGGACCAGAGATTAATTTAATTTGGACCTTAAGTCAAAAATCTTCCTTTTTCTGGGCTGCAGGCGAAAATTTTTTAAATGTATGATAACCGCGAAGCCAAAATCCTCCATTTTGGCGCCAAAAATTCAAATTTTTTCAAAAATCGAAAGAAAAAACTCTCGAAAATCGAAATTTCGAAACAACTCTGTTTGGGGTCAATTTTTACTTCTTTTCATTATAAAAATTTTTTTATTTTTTAAAGTTGTTTCTGTGGATGAGACTGAGGAAAAAGAAGATTTGGAAGAAGAAGAGAATGATTTAGAAGAAGAGGCAATGGAAGTAAATATGTTACAAATGGAATATTAACTTTATTTATTATGGGAAGGAAAGTGGAGAAAAGAGGTGAAGTTTTAAATTATTAATTTACTTTTAGTTTTTTTTCATTGTTTATTTTTGACTTATCTCTTGTATACCTGCACGACTTGTGAATTTAATTTATTTATTATTTAAAGTTAACTAAAAACTTCTTTTTTAAGGTTATTTTTAATATTATTCCTACAAAATTTTTTGCAAAAACAAAGTCGTGGAGGTAAATTAAAAATCCCAATTTAGTTTTTATTTTTCTTTAGTAAATTACTGACTCAATTACTTTGTGCCTATTAAAAAAATTTTTTGTTTTGTTTAATTTTCATTCGAAAAGAGATTAACAAATTTGAATATAAAATCTGGTAAGATGTAATGTTTTAAATACTAGAGTTGGCAGTTCTGGATATCCGGGATCGAAAAGTCCGGATGTGTTTGTATTTAACCCTCCTCCCCAGTGTCACCATTTCACAAAATAATAAAATGCTAATTTAAAAGTTTTGTCACATCCTCTGCTGTGAATTCAGCCCCTAAAATACTTTGTTCCCATCTAGCTATTTTTGCCAATTCTCATAGAATAACAAATGCTAATTCAAGCGATTATAAATTTCCATCCATCGCCCATCAGCTAACATTTAAATTACTAAATAGTATTTACAATCTAAATGGAAATATGTACTATATGTCGCGGACAGCGACCAGTGATTTTATAAATAGTTTAAAGTTTATTTTTGTTATTCAACTTACTCTTTTCATTGAATTTGCCTTTTTTATTAATTAAGCCATCTGTTTTATTCCATTTAAATACTATTTAGTTACAATCATTGTCAGTGTGTTACATATATTATTGTACCTTTTATTTCTGAATAAATTTAATCACTCGTTTAATTGCTTTTTTAAATTGGCAAAATCTTTAATTTTTATTGATTTTTTTACTTTTATTACCATTCTGCAATTTTGATAAATTTTTGATTTTCTTACTTTTATTTTCGAGCAAAAAAAGTTTAAATAAAATGGATTCTCTTCCACTGGAAGTCCAAATAGATATACTTAAATATCTCAATTTCAAACAATTAATATCAATGCAACAAACAAATAGTTACTTTAATCATCTTATTAATGATAACGAAAATCAATTGGCACGGAAGAAATTCAGTTTTATCCGCTTTACATCTGTATATAGAATTGATTTCGTTTTGCTAATTTTTATTTTTTAGTTACTTGATATTGAAATTCATATGTATGAATGTAAACCATTTAATCCCGAACCTAAACTATATGAATTTGAATTGAGTAAAGAACTCGAAGAAAAGGTTTAAAAATAGTATAAGTTTTTTAATAGATCAGTTTTAGTGGAAATGTGGAATAGAAAAGTCAATGCCTTTATTTTTTGTTGATGATGTTGAAGGCTATGGTCAAGTTGCTTGTATATTAAATAAAAACTTTGGCGATGAACGTTCGTTTTGGGATGATTTAATTGATGATTATAATACTTCATGTATGTTTGAATTTATAAAAATTAGAAAAGTAAGGCAGCTGGGCCATAGCAAAGTTGTTGCAAAGTTGCCGGTATCGATATTTCTCTCCTTCAGATAGTGCAAAAGTTTATTCGGCGGCTGCGAGCGAACCAGCAACATCAGTAGACCGGACTAGAGTTGGCCGGTATCGATATTTCGACATAAAATCAGTATTTTAGAATGATTTTAGAAACCAACCTCGGTATCAGGGTTGGCCTAAACCGGATTGGGATCATCATCTTTCCTTTTCCGGAATATGGTCCGGAAATTTTGGAAAAATAGTTTCCGCAAAAATGTTAGTCTTAATAATGTTCTGTTTATGGGGGTAAAAAACGAAGATATTACAGACATCAAAATATACTTAAAATCTTTGAAACTCCACAATAACACCTTTACGAGCGTATAAATTATTTTTATTTGTCCAAAAATTATTTTTTAATTATTTTTTAGCTTCAAATTAAGCTAAAAACATATTTTTTAAATGCTTCAGGGCATTTTTAGTTTAGAAAAAATATCAAGAAATTTTCGCTTCATTGGAATGAAATATCCGTATTTTCGGGCAAAATCTGCGGATAAATTCTGAGGCCCTTATTAATTTAAAATTATGTTTATTTTAAAATTTTTAGCGATCGAGTTTTTACTTCCAGTTATTCCAACAAATATTAAAGAAATGAAGATTGCTCGTTATTTCTTTGAACAACTTTTTACTTGTGCTTTTAAAGATGCTAATTTTTATAACGTCATATTCAATCCTCAAATGCTTGAATTATTATTTGATGACAATAAAACAAGAATACCTTTAAGGGTTCATTCGCATGAATCTATTCTCATTAAGTTTCTTGACACATCTATTTCATTAAAATTTGTGTTAAATCATATGCGTTCTTATCACTTTACATCTAATTTTGGTGCAACAAACGACGATAATGATCAAACTATAGAAATTCTGTTTAACATTTTGAAAAATGGAGGAAATATATTTTATCGAATTTCTTATGATAATCGGCATTCGCTACAACTTTACAATCTTATTATAAAGGTAAAGGTTAATAAAGTGATCTCTGGGCTTTGTCTTCTAGGGTTCTATATGGTTTAACTTTCCTTAATATTTGATCCGATAGTGGATATATATTTTTAAAGTGCATATTTACCTGAAATTTCTGTAAAAAAAATTTTCAGAATAATCATTTAAATGTGAATTAGGTGTATACTTCCTATAATAGAGCCTATTAGGAATTGAAATTGAAAGAATTTCTCTACCACCTTTCAATTGGGGCTGTAATTCAGGATAGGGCTTTTTATAGAAAACACATACCGTATATGCTCTAATAATTACCCTGTGTAATTATTGTTTCAACCTCTGGTTGTAGGGGGTAATTAATAGAGCATATACGGTAATTTAATTTTAGCATATAGAAACATCACAAAACTTATCTAAAATGGTGAAGGAACTTAACTTATGCTTTACTCGCGAACCTATTATAAGTAAAACAGCAGAGAATATTGAAATCAAAATTGGAGGGAACAATTTAAAAGCTACAAAATATCAGCTTTCCAATAAACACAATCCAGAAATCAAGTTTTCTGTTTCTGTTAGAGAAGTAGGCTTTAGAGAATTAGGCAATACAAGATTTGATGTTAATTTTAAGAGAATTGCTTAATAAAATCTGCCTAATGTTTTTACATATTTATTCATAAATTAGTAAGAGAAAAATAAATTTTATATTTATGACGAACAAGTTTAGCTATTTTAGCATTTTTTTAATATTATCAAATTTTATGATATTTCACAAAAATTACTGACAATTTCATGAATTACTGATAAGAAAAAAAGTGCTAAAATATTTTTCCAATAATTTATTTTTGTTTTTCCTTTTCAAAATAAATTATTTTTTATGTTAATTAAATTTGTATTAATTACTTTAATAATATCAATTAATTTATTTATTGCACATATCCAATGTAGAACACGTTGTGTTCGTGCGAGGGGAAGGGTTATCTGTCCGACTGATTGTAAATATTAATTAAAATTTAAAATTAATTTTCTGTGTTAGCTGACAGTCATTTTAATGTTGAAGTGAAACTTATGGACAGCGACACACTTCCTTGGGAAAATGACGATGAAATGGGTAATAGCCCTCATAATTTAAAAATATTTTTTTTATTTTAGGTAGAGCGAGTACAGATTTGCTGGGGAATTACACAGTAGAGGGCTGTGCTGGGGATTTTGGTGCTTGGAATGATCCTGACCCGTTGGTTTTTTAAGATTTTTATTTCTTTTTGTAATCTTAGAATTCTGATTTCTGTTACTTTTGTCAAGGCTTAAACGATTATTAGCTGTTTTTCCACAAACTTGAAATTCTGTTTTATCCCTGGGGAAGCTCAAAAATTCTGATTTATTATTTTTCTCTTTCAAGCTTTATTTCATTTTTAATCTCTAATAATTAACTGAAAACATACTCAATTTTTAGTTATATTCTGATTACTCATCGATGTCCCGAAATTGGACATGATATTTCTGTAATTAAACGAAAACTAAGGTATTTTTTGAATATTTTAAATATTTTTAAAGAAATTCTTTTAAGAATTCCAATTAAAGAAATTAAATATTGTTGAAACTACTCGTCTTGATTTGGAATGTGAAATTTGTTAGATAAAGAGAAAAATATTTTTTTAATTAGACTTGGCAAGGACACAGATTTCGGGGTACTTATCGGTTATCAAAATGATAGCTTTATTTGACTTTGACAATTTCGTAATTTTAGGCAGAAGGGGCGCAAAGGAACTAAAATAGAAGAAAATGTGGGGGAGATAACCGATAAGTACAGATTTTGGAATCTATTTATATTTATCAGGGATGTTACGGTATCCAAACCCCAATCCAAAGAATATTCTGACAAAATCTGACCCGAACCCCCGACTTTTTTCTCTCAGCCCTTGACATCTCTGGTTTTATATCTGTTTAATTTTTGAGTCATTTATCCGTGGTGTACAAGTCTGATTTTAATATGTATAAAATTTATTCTTCAAATCAAAATTTTTTCAATTTTTTTATCAAAACTTTTTAAAAGAAAAATTAAAAATAATCTGTTTAATGGCGTAATTTTTAAGTGGAAATAAAGTGCTTTAAGAAAAAAATTTTTTAAGAGCATTAAAAAATGTGAGCAAAAATGAGTACTTTTCTGCTAGCCCAAAACTTTTTTTGTTTGTTTTTGTTTGAAGAAAAAGTATTGGCTTTAACTTGTAATTGAAATTAATTCTTTTTTTAACAAATTTTAAATGATTTTAATTAATTTACAAATTTATTTTGTTGGATTGTTTAGCTTTACTAGTTTATTATTGTTTTCTAATGGTTATCCAATCAATCATAATTTTGAGAAAGACCAATTAATTTTTGTACAAACTGTGAGAATATATTAAATATATCTAAATGGGGGGGGGGGGGGTAAAAGGGAGGGGAATTTTGTCTGTAGTATGGTCTCTTTTTATTTTCTCTCCAAATCTGCTGAACGGGTGTACCATAACTCTGGGTGAGTAAGTATCTCTATTCCCATAAAATATTTTAGGGAATACGGCGCCCTATCCAAAATAATAGTTGTACAATCACCGGTATAAGTTTTAACTGCAGTAGCTGGTGGACGTACAATATCGGATCTTGGGTTTTAACACGCAGAGCCGGGTACTTATTAACATAAATTTGGGAAGAAAATAGAAAAGAGTCATACAACGTTTAAAATTATCAAATGGGGGTTTAAAAACACAGATTTGGAGGCATGGTGATCGTTCTCCTATTTACATTTACCCGAATGATCCAAACAAGGAGAGTGCTTGGCCTAATGGATTTGGTGAACTAACAACGGTACAAAACTTTCTTTCCTGATTAATTTCTAATTTTTAATTTCAAAAGAGGGGAATGATTCAACAATTTAATTTGGGAAAATTCTTGGGGAAAAGATACATTGAAAAGATACATTCTTCTTGGGGAAAAGATACATTGAAAAGATACATTCTTCTTGGGGAAAAGATACATTCTGCACGATTTTGAAGTAATTTTTTATGTTTCTGTTTTTTAATCCTTTTTTCCTAAATTTGGTTTATATTTGCAATGGAAACATTTTATAAATTTTTCTTTAATACAAAGTCGTGTAGATAAATTAAGAATCCCAATTTTTTTTAATGAATTACTGACTCAATTACTTTGTGCCTATTAAAAATTTTTTTGTTTAATTTTCTTTCAAAAAGAGATAAATAAATAAAATTCGACAATAAATTTTCATGTCCGGAAACCAAGATTAAGTGTTTTATACATAGTAGAAAACACTTAATTTCGAATAGGTGTCAAATCCCGTTGATTTGATTTTTCTTCTTTAATCTTTGACCGAAAATGATCAATTTTTAAATATATTGCCCGCTCCAAATGCTAATTAGAATGGCCAGGATATTTCGGCCAATGTACATTTTTCTCTTTTCCCAGAAATTTATTCCTTTTCTTTCTAATATTATTCTACACTAAAATTTTGGCCTATGTTCTTCAGTTTTGCTTTTAAGTTATTCAACTTTACACCCGTCTGCCCGTTCTACTAGTAAACTAATCACCCATCACTTCACATTTAAAATACTAAATTTAATAGTAAAAAATATACATACGTATATGCATAGTGTCAGCTATTTATGTACTAAATAGTTATTTAAATGAAAATATGTAAAATTTGTTGGAAAAAAACAAAATATACATAGATTATTATTTCAGATAAATTCTCCCACTTTTTTCATTTTAAACCAGCCCTTAACTATCATCTAAACTTAATATAATCTAAACTTAATTTTGTATATTTTTTGTATTTAAAATGCTTTCTATTATATTATTTAACTAAGCACATCTGTTATACTTTGATTTGTTCTCTTGTTTTGTACCAGCCGTCATTCATTATTTTATATTTTTGCACATTAACATAGTAGTCTACCCGCCTATTTTTCTGGCTTTTTTTAAAAGTTTGCATATTTTTCCTCGATCAATTCTGAGCCAATTTTCACAATTTAAAAAGATTTTGAAAGTCCAATTTTTTCTCTTCCGATCAAATAAATTTTATAATTTTAAACTCTCATTTTATAGGTTAAAATTAATTTTAAAAATGTTATCATCTTCCGTTAAAACGTAAAGAATTTTTAGCTAAAATGAAATTTTAAATAGAGCGCACCCTATTCTATCTAAAGATATTTAATTGAATTTTTCTTTTGAACCCGCATTTTCCGATAAGGGTGCTGGGTTACCCTACCGCAAAAGTCGGCTAATCGTTTAATTTTCTTATTTTTATCTTCGAATAAAAATTTTAAATAGAAATGATGAATCTTCCACCAGAAGTTAAAGTGGATATACTTAAATATTTTAATTTCAATCAACTATTAACTATTCAACAAACAAATAGTTACTTTAATGAATTTATTAATGCTAATGAAAATCAATTGGCACTGAAGAAATTCGTTTATATTCACTTTGTTTGTAAAATTTTATTTATTTTACAAATTTTTACTCTATCTTTGTAGTCTTGTGTAAATGGGAGCTATTTATATAATTATTTGTTTGACCCAGCACCGAAACTTTATGATTTTGAATTGAGTAAAGGATTTGAAGAAAAGGTTTAAAAATGGAATAATTTTTGATTTTAAAATAATTTTAGTGGAAATGTGGAATAGAAAAATCACTCCCTATGTTTTTAATTGAAAATAATAATAACAGTTGCATGATTTTTTACGATTTTCTTAAAAATCGCGAAGAAGGTAAAGTATTATTTAATCTGGGTTAATAAAATGTTTCCGCTTATAAAATTAGGAACATAGACTAACCTTACAATATTTTGGAGTAACAACAAGCCATTTAAATAAAATTACCGTATTTACTGTAATATTAGAGCCCCATGGGGCTCTATTTTTCAACTATCCCGAAAAGGGGGGCTCTAATTAAGACGGGGGGCTCTATTTTTCAACCTATTTTTTCAAATTAAGCATATGTTTTTCAAATTTATTTACAACCTAACTTTTAAATAAAAATTTTAGCACAGAAAAAACAGGGAAAATTTATATTTATTACAACCAATAGTTTTCCTGTTCTCCAAATTCCGGGTATAAGAAAGAAGTATATCTGGGAATTTGTGAGAATTGAGGCATATACATAAGTGGATCAGGGGATTAAGAGCGGTATGAAGTTATTTAGGTGGATTAATTGATATAACATGGAATTAATGAATCTAGTGAGATATAGAGGAATTGGGGCATTCTTATAAAAAGACATTTGCATATTTAAATTTTTGCCCTAAAATCAGCCTGTTTCCCCATACGGTCTTATCTTGATGATAAAATTTGTTAGAGAACTTAAAATTACCGCAGCTGTGGATAATCATTCACCCCAGATTACCGCAGCTGCAAGTAATCATCGAGTTCTGGGTCGATTTCTTTATAACCGGGTTAACCCTCAGCTCTGGGTTCTATTACGCGAGTAAGAGAACCTGGTAAATTTACCAGATTCTTCTATACCATTTTTATAATACGCTATCTACCGATATCCACCTTGAACCTTTGATATCCTCTCCTCATCGTCCGATATATGATATCACTGTATATCCCCTAAATCTCACGATATATTATTCATTTTCTTAGAAACTCAATTTTACTTTTAGACTGCAATTTTAATTTTAAAATCCGCAAACGCAATCCGCAATGACAGACTAGGTTGTAAATTACCTATTTGACATCTGACAAATAGGGGGCTCTGTTAAAGAGGGGGGCTATAATACAGACGGGGGCTCTATTTTTCAACCATCCTCGAAACGGGGGTTTACACTTTAACTTCCTATCGCCTAGCGTATGAATTCTGCTTTTCTTTAGTTGACGTGAATTCCCTTTTTCTGCTTTTTAATCAAAGCCCACTTAGTTTTCTGCAATTTTAATTTTAACGCTTTAGATACTAACAATCTCGAGATATTATTTCCAAACATTCCAAAAAATATTGAAGAAATGAAAATTGCTCGTTATTTATTTCAACAACTTTTTACTTGTGCCTTCGAATTCGTTCATTTTTACCACGGCATAATCAATCCACAAATGGTTGAATTATTATTTGATGATAATAAATTAAATATACCATTACAAATACACTCTGAATGCTCCTATATATACATGTTCAATAGCAACTATGATAATTGTCTTTTATTGAAAAGTATATTTAATCATATGCTTTCTAATGATTTCATTATTATTGGCATCGTTAATGATCAAACATTGGAGACTTTATTTAAATTTGTGACAAATGGTGAAAATAATTTTAATAGAGTTTATTTTAATCAAAACGACTACCCAAAACTTAACGATTTTATTATAAAGGTAAGAGGAATGATTTTTTATTTGGGTATATAGATTACTATATTTTAGTTTTAATTAAATACATAGAAGGGAAAACTAAATTAGATTTCTAGGATATTGTCTTCTAGAGTTAATGGATATTTAGAATCTTCGGAGTTTTTTGTGAGAAATCTCTATAGAAAATTTTTTGGTAATCATGGACAATCCGGGAGACACCTTAAAAACACTTTAAAATCCATTATTTTTTTTGAAAGTAATTCTATGTAGGTAAGCGACCATGCTGAGTCCGAATCTGAGCTTAGAATTTGTTTATTTCGAACCCCGGACCCGATTTCGACCAAGTCGAATTCGGGGTAGAAATTCGAAATTACGATATTATGATCATTTTGACTCGTCTCTTTATTCTGAGTCGAATGGTATCAAAATTATTCAGTTTCGACTATTTTGAGCGAAGTTATGATCAATTAAATAACGCTTGGTTAGACTTACGTATACGAATCAGACATCATAACTTCGTCCAAAGTTGTCGAAACTGAATAATCTTGATACCATTCGACTCAGCTCGAATAGGCGCATCAGATTAGTCATAAATTTTTAATTTCGAATTTTTTACCCCGAATTCGACTTGGTCGAAATCGGGTCCGGGGTTCGAAATTAACAAATTCTAAGCTCAGATTCGGACTCAGCATGGTCGATTACCTACATAAAACTATTTTCAGAAAAGAATATAATAATTTTTAAAGTGTCTCCCGGATTGTCCATGATTACCAATTTTTTAAAATAACTTATCTAAAAATTGATTTTATATTCTCATAAGTAAGGCTGTGATTTATAGGCAAATGCCTATTTTTTCTGCAAGCTTGGGATGATGTAATACGTTCAAAAAACGTGTTTTTAGCTTGGCCCGAAGAGTCTAGCATGACTTTTAATTTGCCTATTTCTGCCTATTTTGGACTTTTTGTGCCTTCTTGCCTATTTTGAAATTTTTGGTACTATTTTTGCCTTTTTTAGCGATTTTTTCGAAATTTTGCCTAAAAATCAGTGCAAAATCTAAAAAAATCAGTCCAAAATTGGAAAAAATCAGTGCCAAGTCCCATTATTGATTTTTAGTTCGTTAAATTGTTTATTTTTACGCTGTTGGACATTTTTAACTGGGAAGATTTGGTTTTGGGACGTTTTGGGGTGCGGCGTTTTGTGTGTTGGATGAGATTTCCATTTTGTCAATTATCGACATTTTAAAAAAATTTAATCTATTTTTTTCAAAAAATGATTCAAAATGTCGAATAAATGGCAAATAAATGGCAAAGTTTAATAAATAGTTTATAATTTATAAAATGACGATTAAATGGTTATTTTTTTGTTTTTACCTTAATTTTATAGGCCTGATAACCTTTTTTAAATGCCTATTTTTGTGCCTTTTTTGGCTTTTTGATGCCTATTTTAGGCGCCTATTTCACTAATTTTACATGCCTAACTATCACAGCTTTACTCATAAGATTCCATGTGACTTCTACCATCTATCTGACATTCTACCATCTCCCAATTGTGGCTGTAATTCGGGGTGGTGCACTAATATTAGAGATTGTATACTGTATTTACTCGATTAATTCCCATGGGGAATTATTTTTTCAACTTATCCGTAGCATGGGGAATTATTCAAGGGAGGGGGATTATTCGGGTTTTGAAATTTAAACGTGCAGTAGGGTATTTAGGGAAGGGGGATTTTGTTTCAACTCATCCGTAGCATGGGGAATTATTCGAGAGAGGGGAATTATTCAAGGAAGGGGAATTAATCGAGTAAATACGGTAATTTAATTTCAGCATATAGAAACAGGAGATGTATTTAAAATGGTGAGGAAATTAATATTCAGTGTTACTCAAAAACCTATTATAAGTAAACATGCAAAAAATATCGAAATCAAAGTTGGAGACAACAATTTAAAATGTACTAAATATCAACTTTCTAATAAATGGGATCCAGAAATGAAGTTTTGTATTTATAATAGAGAAAAAGCGATTTACGTTGGAAGCGATTTACGTCCAGCTTTTGATGTTGAAATTAAAAGAACTAATTGATAAGAAGGGAGAATAATATAAACAAGATTTGTCAATTTCAATAATTACTGATAAGGAAATGATAAAGAAAAAGTGCTAAAATATTTTTCCTATAATTTATTTTTGTTTTTTCTTTTTCAAAATAAATTATTTTTTATGTTAACTAAATTTGTATTAATTACTTTAATAATATCAATTAATTTATTTATTGCACATATACAATGTAGAACACGTTGTGTTCGTGCAAGGGGAAGGGTTATTTGTCCGACTGACCGTAAATGTTAATTAAAATTTAAAATTAATTTTCTGTGTTAGCTGACAGTCATTTTAATGTTGAAGTAAAACTTATGGACAGCGACACACTTCCTTGGGAAAATGACGATGAAATGGGTAATAGCCCTCATAATTTAAAAATATTTTTTTTATTTTAGGTAGAGCGAGTACAGATTTGCTGGGGAATTACACAGTAGAGGGGTGTGCTGGGGATTTTGGTGCTTGGAATGATCCTGACCCGTTGGTTTTTTTGGAAAATTATAGATTCTGAGATTTTTATTTCTGAGCTTAAACTAGTTTACTTCATTTCTAATTTTAAGTTATATTCTTATTACTCATCGATGTCCCGAAATTGGACATGATATTTCTGTAATTAAACGAAAACTAAGGTGTTTTTGAATAAATTAAATATTTTTAAAGAAATTCTTTTAAAGAATTCCAATTAAAGAAATTAAATATCTTCCTAATATAACAACTATTGAAGCATTTGTTGAAACTACTCGTCTTGATTTGGAATGTGAAATTTGTTAGATAGGAAAATATTATTTTTAATTTTTAATCGGACTTGGCAAGGAGGGTACTTATCTGTTATCTCCCCACATTTCCTTCTCTTTTATTTCCTTTGCTCCTTCGATCTCAACTTACTAAGGTCAAATAACGCTATCATTTTACCATGTCCAGCTCTGTGTTTTAGAACCGATACCCATATTTTCCGAACCTACAGTTTCAATAAATATTGTATTCCCATATGTTCTTGCATAGAAATAGAAGGCTAATAAATTTATTTTTCAATATTTTCGGGGTATCGGAAAATATGGATGCAGATTCTAAAACACAGCTGGGTACTTATCGTTATACAGTAAAACGATAGCTTTACTGACTTTGACAATTTTGTAAATTTAGGCAGAAGGAGCGCAAAGTGACTAAAAGAGAAGAAAATATGGGGGATAACCGATAAGTACAGATTTTTGAATCTATTTATATTTGTCAGGGATGTTATGGGTACCCAAAACCCAATCCAAAGAATTTTGACAAAATCTGACCCGAACCCCGACCTTTTTTTCTCAACTCTTGACATCCCTAGTTTATATCCGCGTAATTTTTGAGTCATTTATTAGTGGTGTACAAGTCTGTTATTTACATAAATATAAAATTTATTCTTCAAATAAAATTTTTCAGTTATTTATCAAAACTTTTTTAAAAGAAAAATTAAAAATAATCTGTTTAATGGCGTAATTTTTAAGTGGAAATGGAGTGCTTAAAGAAAAAAATTTTTAAGAGCATTAAAAATGTGAGCAAAAATGAGTACCCTTTTTTCTCTAGCCTAAAACTTTTTTTGTTTGTTTTTGTTTGAAGAGAAGTATTGGCTTTGACTTGAAATTGAAATTAATTCTTTTTTTGACAAATTTTAAATGATTTTTATTAATTTACAAATTTGTTTTCTTTATTTTGTTGGGTTGTTTAGCTTTAATTATTTATTGTTGTTTTCTAATGGTTATCCAATCACTCATAATTTTTTCGAGAAAGATCAATTACTTTTTGTACAAACTGTGAGAATATATTAAATACATATATTTAAATGGGGGTTTAAAACACAGATTTGGAGACATGGGGATCGTTCTCCTATTTACATTTATCCAAATGATCCCAACAAGGAAAGTGCTTGGCCTAATGGATTTGGTGAGCTTACAACGGTACAAAACTTTCTTTCCTAATTAATTTCCAATTTTTTAATTTAAAAAGAGAGGAATGGCCCAGCATTTTCATTTGGGCAAATTCTTGGGGAATCGATACATTGATGAACTACAATTCCTTTCCCCTCACTATCGGAGTGAAGAAATATTTGTGATTTCGACTGATACTAACAGAACAATTCAAAGTGCAACTGCAAATATGATGGGAATGTATGGAGGGAGAGGACGTTGCGGGATTGGTAAAAGTCTCGATAAAAGATTAACTAACGGCTTTTCTGACAGATTACCCAAATCTGGTTGAATGGCCTGCACCGTTCGTTCCCATCCCTATTCACAGCTATGAGTTTATGAAGGATCCGGTAAATTAATAAAGTTTCCCTTGGAGTTTAAAGAAAAATAAAGATGGGATATGCCCGACATCACTGCAAAAGAACTCTTGATTTGTTTGCTTTGTTAGAGCAAACACCAGAATATAAACAGTTAAATCGTTCTAGTGCTGTAAGTTTGTTAGATTAATTTTTTATTCTCCCTCATTTTCTAATTTCTGTTTATTAGGGTTGGGGACCCGGTCAGGTCCGGAAGATCGAGTCGGGCATCGAATTTTGGCCCGAAAAAATGACTCGAACGTCGACCCGCACCGTTCGGCCTGCACCGTTCGTTCCCATCCCTATTCACAGTTTTGAGTCCCTATTCACAGTTTTTGAGACTCGAAGACCCCAACCCTACTATTTATATTTCAATTTAAGGCACTTTTGTCAAAAATAAGTGAATATGCTGGCTCTTCCATTACTCTTAATAATTTGTGGGGATTTATCGAAACGGTCAATATTGAAGTATAAAATTCTTTTTTATTATAAAAAAATTATTTTTATTAGAAAACACACGGATTGAGGTCCCCCGATTGGGTACTTCAAATATTACCTAAAGCATTGGAAGTAGATATGCGCCTCACAGATTTACAAATTGGATTAGGTATTTAATTAAGTATTTTCGAATAAATAAAAATATTTACTAAAAGGAATGGCTTCTTTCAAAAATATTAACTTACAAATTGAAATTCCTCGAATGATTGGGGGCTCCTTTCTTTGGGAAATAATTGAAAGAATGGAGAAAAAGGCAAGTTAGTTAGTTTAGGTGGTAATTCTCTGATATTTTGTTTAAATTTAAGATAAAATGTTTGGAAAAATTGAAAAACTTTAATCGAGTTAATAATCGCTTTGGAAGCGATCCTTATTCCGATACTAAAGTTGAAGGAAAGGAATGTGAATGGCTTGAAAGACTTAAATATTACGCTCACTCTGCTGTTGGTTTTTTAAATAAATTAAAAATATGTAGTCGAGGCTCTATTTATCTCCAAAATAAAATAAATTTTATTTGAAATTCATTTTAAATTTTGTTAGTCATGGGGTTAGTGAACTATCGAAAGGATTTTCTGTTTATGAGATATCATGTTTAAGGACCCCTCATTATAAGACACTCTTATTTTTTAGCCTGGGAGGATATCTCAAAATGAGGTTTGACAATACAGCCGTACCTCAATATCACATCTTTTCCATTAAGAAGTCTCTCCTATCAGTCCCGTGGGTGAAATCCTAGTTAGATCCATATAAAATATTTTTAGCACGATATGTCCATATCTGCATTATTTTCTACCCTTCAATTTGACTATACTGATTTTGACCAAGACGGTCTGCCAGGTTATGCTTCTTGTGTTTTGATTGAATTGTGGAGAAATGTTGAAAGAGGGTATTATATTAAAGTAACGTTTTAAATTATTCTCTCTTTCAATTCTATACTCAATTTTGTAGGTTTTATATAGAAGAGATAATGTTGATAATTTGATAAATCTAACACCTTATATTCGTGGATGTAATGGAGAAGAGTGTAGTTTGGAGTTGTTTAAACAACGTTCTCTGATTTTTAAACCTTTACCAAATCAGGAAACGGTCAGCTACATTTAATTTAATTGTTGTTAGACAAGGTTGGGGGTTCTTTTCCGCTTAGGCTTTTTAAAATGCGGCAAGGCCCTGCTGACATGAGTAACTTTGTCTTTTCACTTAAAAATTCAAAATAATTTAATTGGCCATCAAGTATTCTTGACATCCCTTAACAATACTTTTATAATTAATATACTATTAATTAAAGTTATGCAAAACACCTCTCTCACAGAATATATGGAATTCAAGTAGTATGAGAATATTTAGAAATAAAAATCTAATATTTAATCACTTTATTATCATTTTATTTTTCATTTTAAACTAGCTGAAGGGTGAGTAGTTGAATGGACGTGTAGCTTTTGGGTTTGGTTACGCTGGGGGGAGCGTTTGGTTACATTTCTGGACCGGTGAGAATCGTTTGGGGGCGCGTCCAGGGACGCGCGTGGAAAGCCTGCGGCTTTAAAAGGACGCTAGATTTGTTTCTTGCTTGGCGATTTACGTTAAATATATTTAAATTCTTTGCTTTGCATTTTGGGGGCCTTCGGCCCGCAAACCCACCGGTTATACGGATACTTTGCATTGAGGTAGCTTTGATGGGTTGTCTCGGGCGTTTTGGGGCCTTCGGCCCCCCAAACTCACCGGTTAGACGGATACTTTGGCTTTTGGTAGCTTTGGTGGGTTGTGGCACCGGTTAGACGGATACTTTGCGTTGAGATAGCTTTGATGGGTTGACTCGGGGCGTTTGGGGGGCCTTCGGCCCCCAAAACCCACCGGTTAGTAGCTTTGGTGGGTTGACTCGGGGCGTTTGGGGGGCCTTCGGCCCCCCAAACGCAGCGTTTAGGAGGATACTTTGCCTTTTGATAGCTGTGGTGCGTTTACTCGGGGCGTTTTGGGGGCCTTCGGCCCCCCAAACCCAACGTTTAGGAGGATACTTTGCCTTTTGGTAGCTTTGGTGGGTTGACTCGGGGCGTTTGGGGGGCCTCCGGCCCCCCAAACCCACCGTTTAGACGGATACTTTGCCTTTAAGTAGCTTTGGTGGGTCGACTCGGGGCGTTTGGGGGGCCTCCGGCCCCCCAAACCCACCGTTTAGACGGATGCTTTGCCTTTAAGTAGCTTTGGTGGGTTGACTCGGGGCGTTAGGGGGGCCTTCGGCCCCCCAAACGCGGCGTTTAGACGGATACTTTGTCTTTAGGTAGCTTTGGTGGGTTGACTCGTGGCGTTTGGGGGGCCTTCGGCCCCCCAAACGCGGCGTTTAGATCCCCCCTCGGCCTTCGGCCTCGGTTTTGGGGCCTTCGGCCCCCAAAACCCCCACAACTTAAAACTCTGACCGCCATAATTTGTTCAGACTCAAGTGACCCTCCAAACAGAGTATATATTTTTCGATGGATTTGAGGTTGCTCTACAATATAACGTAAGTCTTTTTAATTAATTACCACTCCTTTGGTACCCCCACTGGGTATGCTACCGCCCACCCCCAAATTTCGACCTTTTGTAACTTTTGCCAAATGGTCAGAAAATTTCGGAAAAAATATTTTTAGACTCGGGGCATTAAGGGCTTTCGAATGATATATCATTTGCCCCATTTATACCAATTTTTAAAAAAATATTTTTTTGGCCGAAAATTTTGGCCGAAAAAATCGACCAAATTTTCAAAAAATCATAACTTTCTTAAAGTTAACCTTTTTTAATAGTTTTAAAATCCTATAATATGCAGAAAATTCTGCTCTATCCAGGAAAAATACTTTCGGGTCGAACCGCCGGCAAAAAACCCGAATTTTTTTCGAAAAACCGAAAAATTTTCGGGTTTTCGAAATTCGACCCCTACACCCCCAATTTCGAATTTTTTCGAAATTTTCTTCAGTCAAAAAATACCTAATTTTTAAGACTATTTTTAGAAAGAAACCACAACCCAATCCGATAATCCCACAAAAAATTAAGGTCCCCCAAAAAATCCCGAATTTTTCCCAAAAGGGAGGGGACAAAATTTTCGAATTTTGACACAAAATTCGACTTATATGGTACTCTGACATGCGCTGAGTACGAATCCGGCGTCAGAAAAATTTTAAAAAATTTCTCCGGGACGTTAGAGTCTCATAAAGTTTCACGACATTTTGCCACAACGCCTATAACTTTTTGAGACTCAAGTGGACCCCCAACATATTATACCTTTTTCTGACCGCCAGGGGACGCTCTTTCGATCTGGCTATTGAAATCGAGTTTCAATTCACTTTACAAAAAGTCGACTTTTCGACCCTGACTCTTTGGACCATATCACCCCCAAAAGTTCACCCGAGACTCAAGTGGTCAACTATTTATAACTCCCCCACACTCTACCCTCCAACATCACTCCCAGGCCCCAAGACCCCCAAGTTCTCAAAAACGCGTTATAACGCGTTGAAATTTTCATCCGGCCATTTCGGTGCCACACTCAAGTGCGGCACCAAAACGACCTATCCCAAAAAATTCCCCATAGCCACTTACCTAATACCCCCCAGGTCCCATCCAATTCCGCCGCGCCGTTCACGAGATATAGAAAATCGAAAAACCAATTAATTGGTTTGGGGACCAAATAAAAACCAATGAACAGGCACTTCGGTATTTAGACTTCACCGAATTTCGAAATTTTTTTTTAAAATCATATCTACTAATCGTGGCGCGCGTGCCTCCCAGCAGACTTTTTCTGCTCCGACTTACGGTTCACGAGATAAAAATTTTAGTGGGGTCGTTTCGGCGCAAAGGGAAAGTCATGGCGCCGCGGCTATAATTTTCCTGAATGCGCCTTAAAAAGTTGCCCCCAGGATGTCAGGCTTCGGGGAAGCGGCCGGCCTTCGGCCGGCCGATATTAGTTTTTAAATTTAATTGGGCTCTGGATTTTATATTATATAACTAGCTATGGGTTACGTATGCGATGGCGCGAATAGCATACTCTGGCGG